AGACTGTTGCACATGGGGCTTTGTTTTATTCGTCTTTAAAACTCCTTTTTTCATGTCAGCCTGCATCATTAGTAGAGAGTAACCAAGTTGAAAAATGTTTTTAATTCTAATTTTAACTAAACTAGTGTCCAAAAGAAACGATACCACCTGTTTGCAACGACATAAAAGAAAAACTAAACAATGCAGAAGTTTAGGATTGGTGTTATGCTTTTGAGAAATCCTTTCACAACATCCGTACAAAAATTTCATTTCAATAAAATCTGTACAACCAATATGACAAGCCTTTAAAGATGGGTGGGGTCGAAAAAAGAACATTTCGTTAGAGCACTGATCACAGAAACAACGGGAAATGTCACACCACACCATCACAAAGTCAAGTCAGTAGCGGGTATGTCCACCGTGAGCATCAATACATGCCAGAACACACCTACGGACTGATGCCGTCAAACGTCTGATGACGTTGGGAGTGATTCGTTGCCATTCCTCGAGGAGACATCGTTCCAAGTCCTGGACGTTGACTGGAGGCACACGGCAAAGTCGGATTTGCCGATCGAGGTGGTCCCATAAGTGCTCGATGGGATTCATGTCCGGTGAACATGCGGGCCATGGCAAAACCTGTACGTTGGCGTTGGCAAGGAAGTTCTGTGTCAATCTTGCTGTGTGTGGCCTTGCATTGTCAAGTTGGAAAAGGAGTCCACGAGGCTGTTGCTGAATAAAGGGCACCACAACAGGCCGTAGGATGTCATCAATATAACGCTGTGCATTCAGGTTTCCACGAATTACGACAAGCCTCGTTTTGACGTCACCACATACGAACGACCGGACCTGTTGGATAAAGTTAGGCGCCAAACGTTCACCAAATCATCAGTATACAAGCTGCCGTCCATCGTTTTTGAAGATGAGGAATCTGCTCTCATCAGAGAACATAACACGTGCCCAGTCCTGCCGTTGCCAACGTCGAACTCGCCTGGTCCAGATCAGTCTGTTGTTCCGGTGTCGAGGCGTCAGGAGCGGTCCGCGGTAGGGATGACGTGACTGGATACCATACTGCCGTAGTCTCCTGTAGACGGTCTGTCGACTGATTCTGTGTCCCAGTGCTGTAGCCGCCGTGGACGTCGCTGTTACGGTGCGGTTCCTCAGGTGTAATACCCGGATGTACCGATCTTCATGGGGCGTGGTTACTCGTGGTCTTCCACTCCTGGGCCTGTCTGACGTCTGACCTGTCTGACGTAACCGCTGCATCAACCTGGTGATAGTGATGCGTGCGCAGCCCAACCTTCTGGCGACGTCGACGTGCGTCGCTCCTTGTTGGACCATTCCAACGGCTCTCTTTCTGTCGATGGCTGTCAAAAGTGGCATATCTTGTGTTCTTTTTGTTGCTGTGATATCAACGTGTCTGATGAGCCGTTTTATACAGTTTTTATGCACGTGCAGAACATGCTAGACAGGGAAATGTCACTTTCACGAAATTTACGTTTTTTCCCGGAAGTGATCACGTGTTCCCGGTATTTTTATCGACTATGCTGTGTTTGGGATGTGCAATACGAATTGGCATGTTTTCATATAAGACAATTCACTTAGTAAAAAACAATTTTGAAAATAAGTTGGTATCGTTTCTTTTGGACACTAGTTTATATTGGTGAAAATGTGTGGACATTGTTATAAACTGTAAATATTTTGATGTAGGTGCAGATGATAAATTGTATGGAACGAGCC